TGAGACTGTTATCTTCAATTAATCACCAAAAAAGCCGGAAGCGGAGTTGTGGCTCGAGTGATAGAACACTACCTTTGAGCAAAAAAAGCTCAGGAACAGTGCTTAGGCCCCAATTTCAAGCTCTAGTACTGGCACAAAAAAGAGGAAGGAGGAAAAAGAGGACGAAGAAGAGAAGGAGGAAAAGGGGGATGCAGAGGGGGGAGAGGGGAAGGGGGAAGAGGAAGAAGAAAAGGAGGAGGAAGAGGGGTATGAAAAGGGGGAGGAGGGGATGGAGAGGAGAACAAGGGAGAGGGGGGTGGAGAGGAGGAAGAGGGGGATGGAAGGAAGAGGAGGGGAAGAAGGATAGAGAGGGGGAGGATGGAAAGGGGAGGCGGGAGAAGAGGAGAAGGGGGAGGAGAGGGAGGGGAGGGGAATGAAGAGGAGGTGGAGGTGGTCCTCAGGGCCTTGGTGTCTCTAGCAGCTAGGAGAGCATCACATGACCCCTTCTCCACTCCCACTGAGCTGAAAACCAACTAATTCAGTCACATGTATGTCTTCACAAGTCACAGGCCAAGAAGGCCATCCCCAGCGTTTCCCAGAGTTTGCCTGATGGCTTTTTTTCACAAATTCGCAGGGCTCAGGTCCTGTTAGCTCTCAGGTGTAGCTCGGCTGGACTTAATTCCATTTATGAGCATCAGAAAAATCTGTCCCGGGACAAATGAAAAACTTAGGAGACAAGACTTGTACACACAAACAAGCCATAGCAGAAACAGAATCAGCTGCTGTGGACGATGTGGGTGGATGGCACCGTGTATCTACACCTCTAACAAGAGACCAAAGCCTCAGGCAGAGAGCAGGTTACCAATGGCCTAATGGTAGACTCTCAGTCAAGCTCCCGTATTTGATACAAGCTCAGCTGAACCATCCTGGGCAAGAACAAATTTGGTTATAACTCCTAGGACAGTGAAGTGAACTGAGCAGTAAGCAGCTAGAGGACCAGGCGAACCGGGTCTCCAGCGTCCCCTCGGACTGCGGAACTGGAGGGTGGGTTGGAGCCCAGTGACTTCCTGGGGTCCAAGGATGCTGTGAAGGAACCTCAACATAAAGCACGAAACTTCCAGAACTGGCTCAGGTAACAGGACTACCATTCAGAAGCTGAGATGGAAAGGCAGGCTCAGGGCTCTGGCTCACACCTGGGCCAGGCTCAGGGCTCTGGCTTACCCAGGCTAACTCGCATGGCCTGGAGCCTGGGGCTGGGGTTAGGCGGGGAAGGGGCGGGGGAGGGGCGCTGACAACATGGCTCCAGTGTGGTTATTTGGGCTGAGCCGGGCTGTGTGCACAGACATATTTTTAAGGGTGATTCCATCCCAGTTCTGGGGAGTGAGATCTGACTCTTTACTCACTGGTTTGCAAGTGTGTATTCCTAGAACTGCATGGCCCTTGATTAGCTTCAGGGACAGAGCTCAGACCCAGAGTTAAGCCTCAGGACTGGCAAAAAAAGAGTAAAAAAACAAAGTTATGAGGAGTGTGTGTGTGTGTGTGTGCGCGCGCGCGTGTGCACACACACACACACACACACACACACACATGCCAGTCCGGAAGCTTGAACTCAGGGCCTCAGCACTTTCCCTTAATTATTTTTTTTGCTCAAGGCTGGCATTCTACCACTCGGCATGAACCTCGTTGCTACTGTGCATGCTAAGTATGAACAGTAATTAATACAGGCTATTCTCCAGACTCAATCGAGTGTTTTATTGCAATTATTGATTAGCCAAGAGCTGAGATCTAAGAAGACCGTAGGTCAGGAAGCCAGAGTAAAAAAAAAAAAAAAGTCCAAGGTATTAGCAACCTGGAACTTGGCTAAGGGTCAGATCCTCTCCCCGCCAGCTCCCCTCCTCCCACGGGCAACTCCCCAGGTGGGGGACACACCCCAGCAGATGGCCCAGGACGGGGTCCATGCTTCACAGCAAGCGCAGCATTCTATGCTTTTCACGCTTTTCTGAGAAATGTGAGTTGACTAACGTACACACAAATCCTCACGTAAGACAAATCGTGTGTTGAGGGACAGGCAGAAAGGGGCAGTGGAGGCCGTAAGAGAGGCCACGTCCTTCCTCTTCTGAAGAGCTGGGAAGGGAGAGCAGCTGGCATGGAAGCAACGCCTCTGACAGTCCTGGAGCAAGTGCGCAGAGGGCAGGCCCCGCCCCCCGGGTGAGGTGGGCAGTGACTTGACCCTACGCCGGACAGTGGAGATGTCCCAAAGCGCCAGTACTGTAATGGGCTACCGACATCCAGGCACACTTCTTGCTGTCTTGGAGGAAGAAGTCTGAACTGTCATCCTCCTCCTCTGCCTCCCCCTCTCCCTCCTCCCCCTGCTCCCCTTCCTCCCCCCTCCACCCTGTCTGGGACGCAGGAGTCCTAGTTGGTCAGTAGTCTAGAGGCCATCCTCAGCTGCCCGGACCCTCCTCTCACCTTCAGAACACTTTGCCTCCGCCCCTACTTTCCTGCCTCATGATTATTTGTGTACATAAAATGGACCCAAGACTCCTAGACAGTATCCATGTCACCAGCCCCCCTTGTGACCAGCACCCTGTGTGAGCAGCACCCATGGCTCATCCACGACACAGCGTCACGGGAATGAGGAGCCTGTGCGTGGAGGACCCGCACACAACACCCCTCACCCTCTCCACCGGCGCAGACAGGCTCCAGGGTGCGCTCTCAGGTTGAGTTTTATTTAGGGCAGGAATAGGTTTTTCTTTTTCTTATAGGTGGAATACTGTGCTTATGTGTCCACACACAAATCCATGAAACACGTTCCAAGTGACGCATTGAGGAGCTGAGACGGGCTCTATGTCAGGGTGAGAGCACAGACGGGCTCTATGTTGGGGTGAGAGGGGATGGGCTCTATGTCAGGGGGGGAGGAGATGGGCTCTATGTCGGGGTGAGAGGAGACAAGCTCTATGTCGGGGTGAGAGGAGACAAGCTCTATGTCGGGGTGAGAGGAGACAAGCTCTATGTCGGGGTGAGGAGACGGGCTCTATGTCGGGGTGAGGAGACGGGCTCTATGTCGGGGTGAGAGGGGACGGGCTCTATGTCAGGGTGAGGAGACGGGCTCTATGTCAGGGGGAGGAGACGGGCTCTATGTCGGGGTGAGGAGACGGGCTCTATGTCGGGGTGAGGAGACGGGCTCTATGTCAGGGTGAGAGGAGACGGGCTCTATGTCGGGGTGAGAGGAGACAGACTCTATGTTGGTTGAGAGTGGAGACCGGCTCTATGCTGGGGTGAAAGTAGAGTACAGAAAAGCCCATTTTCTTGGTTGGGATGTGGTTGTCCAGGTTTGTATTGTTTGGACCGTTTGTTTCCAAATGTATCTCTGTTTAAACCACACAATAGTGTAAGTTTCAGTGTCTCTCAAGTAAATGCCAGCAAATGTTCCCCACAAATGTAGTCATTCGTACTCTGACCATGTTGTTAGCCACCGCCTGCGCCCTCATTTCTTCCTAGGATCCTCCATATGGTGGAAATCTGTTCCTCTGACTCCACCTCTCCGCAGAGCCACACAGCGGGTTCGTGGCTGGAGTGACGGGGTAGCAGGCCTGGTCTCAAGCCTGGAAGGTGGTGAGCCCAGAGAACAAGCGTGACTCTCCTTTGGGGTTGCACTGGGGCCCAGGAGAACCAGATGGGCCCACTGCGGTCCCACTCCCGGTGCGGACGGTGGCTGCCCTGCGTTTGTCTGGGTCAATGAAACTGCTGATGCAGTTAATCCCCCCGTCACATTTCCTGCCTACTTAGGCTGGTTCTTTATTTCATTCTCCTCAAAACAGAACTGGCCTAGAGAGAAGAGCATCTGCTCCCAGGCATCCCGCCTCATGAGGGCTGCAGGGAGCAGGGGCCAGTCCCGCAGGAACTTCTGCAGAGGGCCTGAGGCACAGGGGAGAGTCGAGTAAAAGTCAGGGTCAACTCTGTCCCTCGTTGGGTGTTTGTGAAGAGATTCTCAGTGAGCTCAGAGGCGTGAATGGCCTGGCCAGGGCCTGTCCTGGATACCGGAGCATGGGAGACACAGCAGTAGTGTTCTCAGACTAAAGGAAAAGTTGTGGAAAATTTGAATGCTCTGGAAGCAACTCACACAAACACAGGTGAAATAAAGGTTTGAGAATCTGGTCCTAAGTGAACAGGGGTTTGGTGGGACTTTAGCACACAGATTCCCCGGCTACCAGGGGCTGGGACAAAAGAGTGAAAGGGCCAGGCACTGGTTGGCTCACGCTGGAAATCCTAGCTACTCAGGAGGCTGAGAATTGAGGATCACAATTCATAGCCAGCCCAAGCAGGATAAGTTCATGAGACTCTTATCTCCAGTGGGCCAGCAAAAAGCCAGAGTGGAGGTATGGGCTCAACTGGTAGAGCGTTATCCTTGAGTGAAAAAGCCAAGGAGCAGTGCCCAGGCCTTGGGTTCAAGCCCCAGGACTGGCAGGGGAGGAGAGGGGGGAGAGAGAGGGGAGAGGGAGATACACATCTGAGCTTTTGGTTTCCCCATGCTAGGACCCCACTGTAGAATTTTCTGTCATGATGTGAGCAGAGGCAGCGAGCTGCCACTGTCTATCAGCCCCGATGACAGAGGGGACCTGCGACCTCCGCAGGGCCCGGCTGCTGAGCTAGGGTGCGTGGTAGGGTGCTGTGTTAAACGCACTCTCAACCGGAGAGACTTCAGGTTTGTAATGGGTTTACTGTAACCTCGCGTGCCTTGGGGTGAATCCCACGGGCCCCATGCTGGGTGGTCAGCCCACAGTGGCAGGGCACGCTCCAGCTTCCCTTCCATTCCCAAGAGGCCCTGCAACCACCCAGCTCCCACCGGTTTCCACGGCTGGTGGCAGGTGCCATCCGTCCCTCCTTTCTTCCCTCATCCACCCGGCCTCCTCTCGGGGCAGACCGTGGGGCTCACGCCCATGGCTCTCTGGGTTTGGACAGCCCGTCCCCGGCAGGTCTGAGCAGGGGGCTGTGACAGGACTCCCGCTCATGTCTTGCAGGTGAAGGACGCCGCCCAGCAGCCCCAGATGGCATTCACGGTGCGCCACTCCACCGTCACCTTCCACACAGAGGGGGAGTCGTGGCGGGAGCAGAAGGAGCAGAGGGCGGCCCTGATGGTGGGCATCCTCATCGGTGTGTTCGTGTTGTGCTGGATCCCCTTCTTCATCACTGAGCTGGTCAGCCCCCTCTGCTCCTGGGACATCCCTGCCATCTGGAAGAGCATCTTCCTCTGGCTGGGCTACTCCAACTCCTTCTTCAACCCCCTCATCTACACCGCCTTCAATAAGAACTACAGCAGCGCCTTCAAGAATTTCTTCTCTAAGCAACACTGAGTGGAGATCGAGGGCAAGTCCTTCCCCTCGCTTGGCGGGCTGCGTCACCTCCAGGGCTCATCCTCTCAGTGCTCCAGGGTCGTGGGAGACCTTCACACACACACACACACACACACACACACACACACACACACACGTGGGGCACTGTCCTCCCACAAGGCCCGGGCGCCTCAGGTCGGTGACACGTGTCGCTCTGTACCACAGCCTCGGACTGGGTCCGTCAAGTGCCCTTTTCCCCAAGTCCCCTCCGGCCGGGTCACTGACACTGTCCTCTCAGAGTCAGACGTGGCTGGCAGAGCGAGGAGGCAGAATGGTGTGGCGGGTGGAGGATGGGCAGAAAAGAGAAAGGAAGTCCAGAGGGCCCATGGAGGATGTTAGACCACGACCCTCAGCTTTCTAGAATAGTCCACACTTCCGAGTTCGGTTCTCTGTGCTTAGTCAGTATGCTCTAACACGTATTGGGTATTTCCCAATATTTGACCACAAACTAGTCTCACACTCATGAGGCTAGTGCGTGCATACACATACAACCACCAAGAGGGGAGTGTTACAGCTGGCCAGTGCCCCAAAATGCAGCTCACCAGCTCGGGCCAGGCAGTCAGAGCCAAGGTCAACTCCCCTTCTCTCTGTGCAGTAACTGCACAAGCAGTAGAAAGATCTACTTGTTTCAGAGAATCTGTCCAACTTGCTTATTTGCTAAGGGTTTGGAGTAGTGTGAGATTTCTTCAATGTTTCTGGGTGAAGGCCTTTATCCTAGACCACGAGATCAGAGGTCGGTGATGGTCACCGAACTGTTGACATCTTCAACAGAGTCTCACAAGGAGCGATGCAGGGAACGTCACCAGACCTGAGCACTTCACCCATCATGATGGGCTTGGGATTGATGCTTTGCGGTCCCTGAGTGCCTGCTAGGAAGTCAGGGACTGGGCGGACGATGGTCTGATGTGGCCTCAGCTGGGCTGACAGACTGTCATTGGTCACACAAAACATGGTCCATCCACCTCTCCAGAGACAGCTCGAGGGAGCACTGAGCATCATCGCTGGAGAAAGAAACATCACTGAAGAATGAAGAGAGAGGGAGAGACAGACAGATACACACGTATGCACACACACATGCACACACAGAATGATGAACTGTGTGCCTGCTGACTTCTCCCGAGAACAGTGGACAATCTGCGTCATCTCTAGCAATCTTCAGACTGGCAGAGTGGTGTCAACATGTCAGGATTCTCAGTTCCCAGGAAAATTCTGATGTGTTGATTGGTAACTTCTCTTAACTACCGTGGCCACTGAGACAAGCCCGAGGGTCAAAACTTTAGCTCACAGCAATCTATGATGCGTTAGCTTTTATGACAGTGGACAGATCGCCCGTTCCCCAATGTGAGGGCTCCCCTGGGTGGAAAAGAGACGATGGGCTATTGTGAAGATCACCAGGGTCCCACCGGCTGTGTGTTCGGCAGAAGGGCACGCTTTGCTGCTTTTGGAGAAGTCCTCCCAAACCCTGCAGCTCACAGTTCTGGAACAACACCTCAAATGACCTCTTCCATCGGGGTCAGTCAGGCCACACTGAGAAGCAAATTAGGAAACCTCTTCCTGAAGAATCATACACAACCTCGCTAGCGGCTTATTACAACATGTTTTTGCTTAAGTTGTTTCAGTCAGGGCGTTTTACTTTGATCACAACTTCAAGAATGGGAAAGGATTTGTGTTTGTGGCTGGCCTGGATCCCGTGAAGGCAGCCCTTGAAAAATGTTTAAACTGGGCTGGGAAGGTGACTCAGTGGTAGAGCGCTTGCCTTGCATGCATGAGGCCCTGGGTTCGATTCCTCAGCACCACATAAGCAAAAAGAAAAAAGCCGGAAGTGGCGCTGTGGCTAGAGTGCTAGGGTGCTAGCCTTGAGCTGAAGAGCTGAGGGACAGCCCCCAGGCCCAGAGTTCAGGCCCCACGACCAGACCCCCCCCAAAAAAATGTTTAAACTGTGGAAATTCAGAGTTAATCCTTCCTTCTTTCCTCTCTTCTTCCTTCCTTCTTTCCCTCCCTCCCTCCTTCCTTCCTTCCTCTATCCTTCCTTCCTCCTTCACTTCTCTCCTTCCTTCCATGTTTTCTCTCTCCCTCCTCTCCCTCTCCCTCCCTCCCCCCCTCTTTCTCTCTCCTTCCTTACTTCCTTCTGGTATTGTGGGGGGGGGCAGCGGTGGTATGGAGTTTGAATTCAGAATGTTGTGCTTGCTAGGCAGGTGCATGCTAGCAGGTGCGCTACCACTTGACCCATGCCCCAGCCACCTCTGAACTGTTTTGTTCTCTTACATAGCAATGCTTCTCGTGTGAGGGAGCTCAGTATGGTGAATCTGAAGATCAACACCAAGTAGGAGCATGAGTATTTCCTCTCCCTTTTTTGCAACTAGGTATAAACAAACCTACTTGTCAGTAAGTGCTAAACACATGAGTGATCTATTTCATCCTTTTCAACCTCTTAAGACTTCAGCCTCCCCAATATCATCACTTAAGAATTTGGGGGCAAATTCACTCATATCATCTCAGTTTCTAAAAAGTCTCTATTTTACAAAATTTCCAAAGTCTCTTGGGCAATAAAACTCGCTGTTGTCTGTTACATCACTGTGTCTTTGAATGCATAAAAAGGTGTGTGTGATAGGCCAGGTGTGATGGCGCATGCCTGTAATTCCAGCTCTCAGGGGTAGAGATAGGAAGATTGCAAGTTTAAGGCCAGCTTGAGCCACGTAGTGAGACACTATCTAAAAAACAACTGTGTATTGTAATAGTCTTTGAATTATTATAACACACAACAATATACTTGCATTGTATACTATACAATAAATTGTATCAATTAAAATTTCCAAGATGGGAAACTTGTGATGCTTCTCTGTGGCTCTGACTTGAAGTTTCGTCTTGCACATCCTGCAGAGATTGTGCTGGTAGGAGCAGGAGCAGATGAGGGCATGCTGACCACAGGGAGTCACGTGCACCAGCTGACTCTGGAGTGCTGGCTGGGTGTCTTTGTTCCTTGTATAGGTCACCACAGCGATTTGAAGATACCAGCGAGGTCCCCTGTGCTGTTGTTTGTGACATGGATCCGAGGGGAACAGTCTCCAGTGTGGAGTGGACTCCTGAGATGGGTCCATTGTTCTACCCTCTTCCTAAGAGGATCTCTGCTGGTTCTCCCCTGCTTCTGTTGACTCGGCAGGCTGCTCCAGTGCTGGAGAGTCACACAATGCTCATGCACAGTCGTGGTCCTGTATGAAAGCCCTGGCTTGCGTGAGCTATGTCTGTGCCACAAGTAATACCGCCCACACAGAAGTAAGTAGGAGGAAGACCCTCAGTCTCTGAACACAGACCTGAGTAACTGAAGGGGCCTACGCCATGAGCACGGTGGCTCGGACGCTTCCTCTTGGAGGAGGAAGAGCAGGGTCCAGCAGCAGGGCCCCTCCGAAAGCAGAGATGCACCATGCAGTTTAGGGAACAGCACAGCAATCGCTCAGCACGCTGTTCATGCTGATACAGAGAGGAACTACAGCTGTGCACGCTGCAGGATGGAGGAGCCTGAAGATCTGACTCATGCGGGAAGCCAAGCCCTGGCTGCCCTGCTGCAGAGCCCAGGCTCTGGGGCAGTTTTCTGTTAGTGCTATAACTGAACAGTTGGTGGGTTGAAACAACACCAATTTGTGATCATACAGTTCTGGAGGACTGAAGCCCAGCATGGTTCTCACTAGATCGAAGGCCAAGCTTCTGCAGGGCTGCGTCCATTTCCACAACTTCTAGGGAGTTAGAACTCTTTTCTCAGCCTTGTTAGTTTCTAGAGATTGTCCACCTCCTTTGGCTCTGGCCTTCTCCCAGCTCCTGACCCTGCAAGATGCGTCTCCCTGCCTGCCTCATTTCTTTTGGACCTTCTTCCATCCGGTCTTCTACTGTGACTGTGTGTGTGTGTGTGTGTGTGTGCGCGCGCGCGCGCATGCGCTTGTGCCTGTCAGTCCTGGGCTTGAACTCAGTCAGGGCAAGGGTGCTGTCCTGAAGCTTTTTTTGCTCAAAGCTAATCCTCTGCCACTTTAGCCACAGCTTCACTTCTCCACCCACCCCTTTTTGGTAGTTCACTGGAGGTAAGAGTCTCAAAGACCGCTGAGCACCGGTGGCTCACGCCTGTAATCCTAGCTACTCAGGAGGCTGAGAGCTGAAGTTCGGGGTTCAAAGCCAACCCAGGCAGGAAAGTCTGCGAGACTCTTATCTCCAATAAACCACCAGAAAACCGGAAGTGGTGCTGTGGCTCTTGTGGTAGAGCGCTCGCCTTGAGCTGAAGAGCGCAGGGACAGCGCCCAGGCCGAGTTTGAACCCCATGACCGAGGAAAAAGAAAGTCTCAAAGACTTGTTGGCCCCGGCTGGCTCCGAGCCACGATCGGCAGATCTCAGCCTCTGAGTAGCCGGCATGACAAGCGCGCGCGGCCGGTGCCCGGCCCTCTCCCACCGGGCAGGACGCATTACGCACATCGGCCCACGCAGACAAGCCGCAGCTGGGCGGACCGGAGCTGGGGTCTGGCCTGGGAGGCCTGTGCTGCGGCCACGCCGTCACGCCTGCCCCTGACCACCCACGTGCGCGTGAGGACGCGGCCTGGCGCCTCGGATCGACGCGAGTGGCAAAGCGGGGCCCGGCCGAGGCGGGCCGGACGCC